CAACCAGCGCTGCTACAATGCCTACCACCAAAACAGGGAGCGAGTCGCTGATAGGGGGAGGACGAGGACAGGGGGAGGATGGGTAGGTGGACGGGGACAGGAGGAGGAGGGATGGGCGAGAGGATGTGGGGTGGGGGGAGGGGGAACAGGGCAGTGGGGATACGGGACAGCGAGAGGTACCACAAGGAGCTAGGGGTCTGGTAGCAATGAGGTAGAGGAATAGAAGGGCATTTATGGGACAGTACATTAGATGTTTTGTTAGGCGGCTAGGGGTACAGGTGAATTCATGCTGTATCAACGATGGGAGCAGCGGTGGCAGAGTCAAACAGCGGGAGGAAGCATTAGGAGGATTGGGACGGGGGACGAGAAGAAGAGGAAGGAGAGGAGGCGGCACAGAAAGAAGGGAACGGTAGGTTGGGGGATAGGAGAGGGGTCGGGTTGAGAGTCAACACAATTGAGGTTTGAGGGTGAGAGAGAGGGGAGGGTGGGCCTGAATGCAGGGCCTTTTACCGCTGTATACCAGAAACCTGCAATCCTTTTCTGCATATTTTAAGAGGCTCGATTGACAGTTCTTCCCCTTTCACCCCCCCACCATTCCCAAGCGTCCCCTTCCCTCCTCATTCCCCATGATTTTCCCATACCCCCCGCCCTTCCCCTCTCCGTGACAATCTTTACCGCGACCCCTTTTCCCCCTCACCCCCTGATCTCTCCCTCCCATTGCTTCTTTTCCCCCGCACCCCCCCCGCCTTTTCGCCCCCCCTCACTCCCCTACCAACCCACCCCCCCTTGCCCGTGGGCGTTGCGTCCAGCCCCCTCCCTCTTCCCCTCCTCCCCACACCTCTCTCTCCACACCCCCAAACTCACCCCGCCTCCATTCTTCCCCTCCGCCCCCCCCCCTTCCCCCCCCCCTCTTCCCTTCCCCCCCAACTCACCCGCCGCCTCCCCCGCCCTGCAGCTCCGCCTTGCGCACCTTCCGCACCGCCAGGTCGTTGGCGTTGCGCGCAGTCCAGTTCCCACCCTCTTCCCCTCCTGCCCCTCCTCTCCCCCCCACCTTCCCCTCCATCCCCCCTCTTCCCCACCCTCACACCCGTCGGACTCACCCGCCGCCTCCGCCGCTCTGAAGCTCCGCCTTGCGCGCCTTCCGCACCGCCAGGTCGTTGGCGTTGCGCGCGACGGGCGCGGTGTACGGCTTAAAGCGGCGCTTTGGGGCGGAGCACACTGGCGGAGGGGGGGAGAGGGGAAAGGCGCGGGGCGGTCAGGGGAGAGCAGTTGGATTTGAGGCGACGCGCGCAGTGTACGGCTTGAAGCGCCGCTTGGGGGCGGAGCACACTGGCGGAGGGGGGGAGAGGGGAAAGGCGCGGGGCGGTCAGGGGAGAGCAGTTGGATTTGAGGCGACGCGCGCAGTGTACGGCTTGAAGCGCCGCTTGGGGGCGGAGCACACTGGCGGAGGGGGGGAGAGGGGAAAGGCGCGGGGCGGTCAGGGGAGAGCAGTTGGATTTGAGGCGACGCGCGCAGTGTACGGCTTGAAGCGCCGCTTGGGGGCGGAGCACACTGGCGGAGGGGGGGAGAGGGGAAAGGCGCGGGGCGGTCAGGGGAGAGCAGTTGGATTTGAGGCGACGCGCGCAGTGTACGGCTTGAAGCGCCGCTTGGGGGCGGAGCACACTGGCGGAGGGGGGGAGAGGGGAAAGGCGCGGGGCGGTCAGGGGAGAGCAGTTGGATTTGAGGCGACGCGCGCAGTGTACGGCTTGAAGCGCCGCTTGGGGGCGGAGCACACTGGCGGAGGGGGGGAGAGGGGAAAGGCGCGGGGCGGTCAGGGGAGAGCAGTTGGATTTGAGGCGACGCGCGCAGTGTACGGCTTGAAGCGCCGCTTGGGGGCGGAGCACACTGGCGGAGGGGGGGAGAGGGGAAAGGCGCGGGGCGGTCAGGGGAGAGCAGTTGGATTTGAGGCGACGCGCGCAGTGTACGGCTTGAAGCGCCGCTTGGGGGCGGAGCACACTGGCGGAGGGGGGGAGAGGGGAAAGGCGCGGGGCGGTCAGGGGAGAGCAGTTGGATTTGAGGCGACGCGCGCAGTGTACGGCTTGAAGCGCCGCTTGGGGGCGGAGCACACTGGCGGATGGGGGGAGAGGGGAAAGGCGCGGGGCGGTCAGGGGAGAGCAGTTGGATTTGAGGCGACGCGCGCAGTGTACGGCTTGAAGCGCCGCTTGGGGGCGGAGCGCACTGGCGAAGTATGGGGGGGACCCAGGGAAAAGTGGGGGGAAGAGGGGGAGGGGTCGAGGGGGGGAAGGGGGAACGGGTGAAGGAGGGGGAGAGTGGGGAGAACAGTTAAATTTGAGACGACGGGCGCAGTGTACGGCTTTTAGCGCCGCCTGGGGGCGGAACACACAGGCGGAGGGGGAACGGGAGGGAAGGCGGGAGCGCGGGCGGGGAAAGGGGGCGGGCGGTGGGGAAGAACGGACGGGGAGAGGGAGGGGCGTGGGAGAGGGGTGAGGCTGCAAGAGGCCACGTGTAACAAGTGTATATTTGAAACGTCTCAAAAATACACTTTTTACATGACGCTGCAAGAGGCTGCCATGAGCGGGTGTGGGTTGAGTGGACGGGACGGGACACATCGAGGTGAGTTTTGAGGCGCCTCAAAGCTCATCTCGAGAGCTGTTAACGGGCGCAAGGGGCATGAGCGGGTGTGGGATGAGTGAAAGGGACACATCTGCCTGCTTGTTTCGGTTTGCAGTAGACGAGAGCACTGGAGACGAGGAGGTGCGGACTCTTTGCTACTCAAGTGCCCCAGTAGTGCTAGGACACTTTAACAAGGCCGTTGAATCTGCTTTTTGAGAATTCTAAAGAAAAACAGTTTTATTACTGGAGCACTTCAGCAAGGCCGTTGCTCTTTACGGAGCACATTGAATGCGCTTTTGACTCGCAGTATCGCGTACAGACAGATTCTACAGCACGTAAGGCGATCAACTCGAAATTTTAACTGCATATCTTGTGGTCATGATCGTGTACGCTCTTTATTATAATCACTAATTTGCCTCAAAAAGAGCCGGCGCACGCACCTGGGCATTTGAATGCGTCTATTCCTTTCGAAGCGCCAAAAAGGTCGCACATGGCAACTAAGAGGAGATTTCATTGAGGCGCCTCACCTGGGCACTTGTAGGTGTCTGGAAGCTTCTCGAAGGGTGTCCGCGAGTTGTAGATGTACCTGCGCAACGTACGAGCGAGTCGCGCGCGGGGCGAGAGAGACGCGCGCGTAGGGAGGGAGACAGGGACACATGTGAAGAGGGGGAAAAAGCGACACGCGGATGCGAAATCCACGTTTCGCGAAATCCACGTTTCGCGAAGACGGAAAAAGGTTCAAGAGAAAAGTTGATACGTCATTGAGTCACCTCGAGGCGGCATGGCAACAATGAAAGGCAAGAGCTTACCCGCAGTCCCGGCAGATGTACGCGCTCGCCATAGTCACACGCGGCGGACCGGAGGCGCCGCCCGTTAGTGTCAACGGCGCCGCGCCAGACACGCTGACAGCCGCCGACGAGATCGGGCCGCGGGAAGGGCGGAGCCCCGCGCTGCCCGTGAGAATCGGCGACGCGGATTTCGGCTTGGTGGCAGCGGGAGACGCCGCGGCGGCCACGGCGCGAGGAGCAGACGCGAGGGAGAGCGCGCAAGCCATAGCTACTGCTATTTGTTTTCCCTGTCAGCACAAGAGAACAACAGCGTGGGTCCGGATGGAAGGAGGATGCGATGGGATGCGCTCCCGACGAGATGCGATGCGTGCGTACGAGAAGGTCCAGAAGGACAGCTGAGTCTGGCTGTGTTGGAGAATAGAGCGAAGCTGCCGTACGGTAGTCTGTCTCTGCAATGTGGGCAGGGCATGCGCTCGCACAATGCAGCAGGATGGGGCGAAGCTTGCGTCGCGGTAGCGGGCTGCTATTCTCCGCAAACGTCGAAAACGCCTGGAAGCTAATTAGTGCCTTGTGTGTGCTTCTGGTCCTTTGCTTGGGCTTCTGGTCCTGATTTTAGTCCTTTCATGCCAACGGATTTTAGAACCAGAGAACTAGACGCGTTCAACGAAAGATCCTGTTTCCCAGATTTGTTCGTTCTTTGTACACTCGCTGCTAGTTGCGATTTCCGTAACCTGCCTGGTTCGGAGAAACGATTTGGCGCTTAGCTGTAAGACCTGCTAGACCGTCGACTTGAACACGCAACACATCAAAACATTCTAGAATGGTAGGGTACGAACGAAGGGTCAGTATTGTCCGACGGAAGCGCCCTTTCTGAATCGGACGGTCAATAATTCGGGGGAGTTTGCACAGCTGGGTGGATTTTGGATGTGAATGGATGTCGAGGCGTGGTGAGGGTGTGTGGCTGTCCAAATTGTGTCGACGCGGATGGATCCATACTTTACCAGGATGACTGGATGACACGTGATGAGACGTGTGCTGGATCCATGTGGCATGTGCCTCACGGGTTCTTCGTATCCACGCTAAAAGGCTTGTCTATGTGTTGGAATGATTCAGAGCTTCTACACTCTCATAGGTTCACAGATATCTTCCACACTATCCCCAGTCTGTCGATGCACGATCCGGGACGTGTCCCAGCCAGTGCATGTCACTGTTGGCGACTATTTCGGCAACCTCAGGGCGAGTCGCACGACACCTATCATTCCCTTGCAAAACTTCTCGGCTCTGGTTGTGATTGGTTGCGAAGATGCATTCGGAAAACCTCAACAGTCGTCATTGACGTTTATGCTCGTCGCAACCACCCGGGGCAGCAAAGAAATTTCGATCTATCTGAGCTATTTCGCCCTTGTGCTCGCACCTCCTATTTCCCAAATTCCCTCTCTAAATCAATATAACACTACTCTTAGTAGTATCTCACCGTCTCGTATTCCTTACCTTCACGATTAACCAGCGCATTTGTAGTTTCTCTCTCCGCAGCCGTTCCCTTGGTTCAATTCGGCGCACGAGCCTCGTCAAGGCGCGGCGCGCTGAAACCCGACAGCAATGTCGTCCGCTGTAGTCGCTAACCCCAACAGCCCCGCTCTCATGTCGCAATCTTCACAAATCTCCTCGTCGAGTCTTCCGCTCAGCCTCGTCGGAAAATCAGGGCCTGTCTTCGGCGAGTTGACTGCCATCAATTGGCGGAAATGGGCGGCTAGCCGACTACAGCAGACGGCGCAGCCACAGCAGCCGTCTGACGGTACCACGGGTCGCGCCGAGCAGAACTTTGAGGCGCGTCATCTTGCCGGATTTCCACACTCGCCGTCAGTGGCCGATCCGTCAACTCACTTTCCGTCAGACAACACGTCAGCAGTCGTGGATCCGCTTACGCCTCAGGCCCGCGAAGCTCGTGGACGTGACGCCGCCAACGAGCAAGGCAGCTTCCACAATGACCGGAGCGCCGCGCTTTTGAGCAAACGCACAGGAGAGGCGCGTTCTGGCTGCTCTGCCACGTGGATGCGGCAGCCCCTCCTTCCAGGGCTACCGGATGACGTGGCGGAATTGTGCCTCATCCGGCTTCCGCGAAGCTTCCTACAGCAATGCAGGTACTGCGTGAGTGTATGTTTGTCGATCAGCCTTGAGTTTGGAACGAGAGCGCGGTCGTGTGTGCATGGGTGTGTTTGTGTGAGAGGGGTTCTGTTTCCGTCAGTTGGTACAACCCGAGTCGCACCTTCCCTAGCTGCACCTTCCCTAGCTGCACCTTCCCCAGCTGCGCCTTCCCTAGCTGCACCTTTGTTTCGCAAGGGCAGGGGAGGACCTTCGTAGCTGCATTGCCTGCAAACTCTTGCTCGTCTCCTCCCCCTCCTCCTATCGCATCTCCTCTTCCCTCGAATCTCCACACACGCTGCCTGCGTTTACTTTCTCCTTCACTTATCCCCTCATTTTCCCTCCTGCCCCATCCCCTTCTCCCTTATCCCCTCATTCGTTCCCCGCTGTCTCAATCACCTTATCCCTTATTCCTAGGCAAGTGAACCGGGCATGGAAAGAATTTCTAGACAGCCCGCGCTGCCTGCGCCTTCGAACAGCAGCCAATCGCCTCGAGCCGTGGCTGTTCGTCCGGGCAGTCGGGCAGCCGAGAAAACATTTCGAGTGGCACGCATTCGCAGAAAGCGCTGGATGGCAGAAGATTCCCCACCCACGTGGCACCAGCCAATGGGAAGCCTCTGGAGTGGGGTGTGTCAGCCTTGACAGGTGTCTCTACATGATTGGAGGAACAGGGTCTGACCGGAAAAAACCCTTGGCCGACACTTTCAGGTGAGGGGTAAAGGAAAGGTTTTGCACCTGTCATGTGTGGTTTGTGCGTGTTTGGGCTTTAAACAAAAAGCTGAGGCTGTGCCTGGCTTTGAATTAAACACACTGCTCACCCATGTTAGCTGATTTGGCTTGCATGCAATGCATAACGCCCTCTGTGCCTTTTTAACAGAGCTTGCTTTCCATTCGGCTTCATTTGGTCTCTGAATCTTATCGTGACACCCTCTTCTTGCTTATCTTCGCTAGTTGTTTCTTCTTCCTTTTTCCCTTTTATTTTTGGCAATTATTTCCTATGTGCTGTAGCGCCCTTGGCATGCTTTGGTACCGCTTTGCATATTTTGTTTCCCGCCCCCTTCCCCCTCTCCTCATACACAATTTCAGGTACGACCCTCAAACTGCCCGCTGGACCCAGTTAGCCAACCTCATCACTCCCCGCAGCTTTTTTGGCTCCTGGGCTGCCCGTGGAAAAATTATAGTGGCAGGAGGCAATGCAGCAGAGCTTGAGGAGATCAAATCAGCTGAAGTCTACCAACCAGAGACTGACACGTGGCAGTCCATCCCACCGCTACCTTTGGCGTTTTCCAGCTTTGGAGCGTCGAGTTTTGGAGGAACCCTCTTTCTGACAGAAGGGTGGCAGTGGCCGTTTCACTTCTCACCCCGTGGGTTCTCCTGTCCTCTTTATAAGCTCATTCACGGAAAGGAAGAGGAAGGGCTTACAGGTCCAAGGAGAGTGGGGGGTGCTCTGATTGGCTGGGGGCTGGGAGAACGAGAAGGACGAGGAGGAGGAGAGGGAGGGGGAAGGGGAGGAGGAGGCGGAGAGGGAGGGGAAGCAAGCAGGACAGGAGAACACTTAGCACCCGAGGGCCTGGGGGAGGGACAGGGCGGGGCGGCAGAGGGGCAAGGCGTGGGGCAAGGCATGGGGCAAGGCGTGGGGCAAGACATGGGGCAAGGCGTGGGGCAAGGCATGGGGCAAGGCGTGGGGCAAGGCATGGGGCAAGGCGTGGGGAGGAGTGGCCTTGGAGCAGTGTGGGAGCCAATGCCAGAAGGCATGGCGGAGGGATGGACGGGCGTGAGTGCTGTGGTGCATGACACACTTGTGACTCTGGTGCAGGAGGGGAAGACCTGCAGGTGGGTTCTGGGGGCATGACTGCTGGGGGCACGCTGGATGTAAAGATTAAACCATAGACAGGAGTGAGTGCTGTGGTGCATGGCACGCTTGTGACCCTCGTGCAGGAGGGGAAGACTCGCAGGTGCGTTTTGGTGGCATGATGTGTGGTGGGTGGGGAAGGGTGATTTGATTGTTTCAGGTAAAGGGTCGTTTGCTTCCCTTTTCACAGTAATCTGCCCATTACCTTGGAATCTCGCCCTCTCCCTGGCACCTCCCCCATCTTTGTTTTGATGCGCCTTGAACTATACATCTTTGTTTTCCTCATCCCTGGCACCTTGGAATCTTGTCCTCTCCCTGGCCCCTTGGAATCTTGTCCTCTCCCTGGCACCTCCCCCATCTTTGTTTTCCGAGGGTAAAGGCCCTGCAAATCTCACTTTCCCCATCTCACTTATTTGCAGGCCCTCCCCTCCCCCTTTACCCGCCTCCCCACACCCTCCCTTCCTCCCCTCTTCTTCTCTCCCCCCATCCGTCCCAATACTCCCTTTGCCCCTTTGCTGCCAGGCTCTTTTCCTACTGCCCGGATACTGACAAGTGGCAGCAGGTCACTGGCTCTCCTTTGCCCCTCTTCCTACGCCCACCTCTGCGCATGGCCACGGGCGGTAACAATCGTCTTTTTGTGGTCGGGCGGGGCTTGGAGTTAGTGATGGGGATGATAAGCAGGGAATCCGGGAAGGGAATGTGCAGGAAGGGCAGGGATATTTTCGATGGTGAACCAGAGGGTTGGGCGAATTTAAGCAGTGAAAACAGTGAGGTTGAATTGCAATGGTTCGTTGAACAGAGGGAGGAAAGGGCAAGTAGCCAAGCTAGGGAGTTTGCATACAAAAAGCAAGAGCTTCGGGCTGATTGGTTGCAACTGAGGGGAGATCTGGCCCTATCCAAGCTTGTTCCAGATGCTCTTGTTGTATTGTTGATGTAGGGTCTAGGGCGAGCTTCGTAACACGACATTTTTGGACTTCGTAGTCTCTTTTCAGGCCGGAGTCTATGTCGGGAATATCGCGTGTCGGTTGACAGCTGCCGTGCCGTAGCTAGCCGGTTTTGAGTCCTGACCTGACGACAAGACAAGCAACAAACCGACATGGCATGGCAGTGCAAAACTTTTCGATCTAGGGTTACTGGTGGAAAAGGACAATTTCCCAGCAGGTTCGCTTGCCTACCAGGGGCGCGTCGCGCGTTTCCCACACGCGAAAAGCATCTCCTCTCCATCCACCACCACCACACAGTTTCGCCAAACTGCAGCCGACCGATTTGCCAGCGGTGTCACGGAAACGTCATCTTTCATGGATACTGTATCGACAGAATGCAAGCTGACAGGCGCGCTGTTCAAACAAGCTTCTCGGCGGAGCAGCTTACACACAGCGCCGCATCCACGTTTTATGGGTGCAAGCCGGACCGCCACCTGCTCCATACTAGGATCCTGTGCAGTGTGTACAACGGATGCTCAACCCCTGCACACGAACTTGATATTTGAAATATTGAAAGTCTACACCCGTGTTTTATGCGCAAGTTGCACCCACATTACAAGCCCCACTAGCAAGCTGCAGGATTATGAACCAGCGCAAACAACAGAAACCGAAGTCAAACTGAAGAGAACTAGGTCAAACAGTCAACGGTGAGTTACAGTTTTTTATGAGCCCTTTTTCTCTAGGTGTGAATTGACAAAAATATAGCGATATGCAAGAATCACTTAAAAGCACAGAGAGTAAAACAACAGTGGGGAGCTCAGCCAGGTGTCGAATGTAACCTGCACTTCGGTACACATGATGCCCACCTGCTGCATGCGAATTTGGTCTGCACCTTTTAGAATGCCTGCACCCGGTTTTTTTCTACCAGCCAGTTGCACCCACGGTACAAGCACCTCGCGCAAGTTGCAGTGATTTTGAACCAATAGTAACAAAGAGACTCATGTCAAACTGAAGAGACTGAAGTAAAATTTCAAAGGATAGGTTACAATTTTTTTTATAAGCACGAACGAATCCTTTCTTGCTTACTGAAAATGAACGAAAACTTTGCAGAATACAAGAATCAACCATGGGTAACCCAAACGAGTATCAAGGTGTAGTGTCGAACCACATCACACATACTCACGCTGCCTTTGGGAAACAGAATCCGAGCTTGTCGAGGGCATGGCAGCAATTCTGGCTGGTGTGCAGCTCCTGGTTTTCCCTTTCTTTCCCAAGTCGCTGCCCGGAGTCAGAATGATTTTGATTCTTCAATCCGCTTCCTCACCGCCGCCACCCCTTCCGCCCCTTCCCTCCAGTCGAGTCAAAATTTTCATGGTGGACCTGCCGTTTCTAAACGTCGCGGGCAAGCGAAAACGCGTGCGAAGCCACTCATCCATCCACCGACGAATTTCTGAACCACTCCAGAAGGAGAGAATCTGCGCGTCGACCAATCAGGCTCCGAACGTCAGTCTGTCAAACTGCACTACAAAATCCCTCAACATCTTCTCTTCCATCAGAAAATTTCAGGTCTTTCCACTGCAACTTCCCAGCTCGATTACGTTTCCCACAGGTGCTCCTCCCTCACATCCATCCTAGCGGAGAAGCTTTTCACCTTCATTCCTCTGCGGTTGTATCTGCTCTCCAGCACCACAAAGTAGTCTCTCTTTCACGTCTTACCCTAGTCTCCGCCGTCCATCCCCGTCGCCAACCGCACTCTTCTCCCACGCTCCACTGCCCATTCCGCATCACATTATCACACCATCACTACTCCATCATGGGTGCTAGTACCGACGCCGCTACCCAGCAGGCCGTTTCCGTTCCCACCTCGGCATCCGAGCCTTGGGAGGACGCGATGCGGGCTGAGCTCGCCGCGTGGTTCCAAAACCCCGACTGGGTCGACGAGACGCCGTCAATGACTGTTTCCGTCGGATCTAACGCTCTCTGTCAACTCGACGGAGTCGCGACCGTCGGCCTTCCGCCCGACGCCGTCTTCTCGATTGTATGCGACCCGCACAACAGTCGCGTATTTAAGAACATCAAGTCGGTTAAGAACGAGCGGGTCATTAGTGACAATAACGGGGTGAAGGAGCTCGAGATGGATATGGTATTCGCCTTCCAGCTGCCCTTCTTTACAGGCACATTCGACGCGCACATGCGCATGGTGCACGATCGCCCGAGCCGCAAAATGTCCTTCGAACTAACGCGCCAAGGCCTCATGCGCAAGTTTGAGGGCTTCTGGCAGGTCGAGCCGCTTGTTGTCCCCGCTTCCGCCACTTCCGCCTCCGCCACCTCCGCCACTTCCTCCGCTTCCGCAACTTCCTCCGCTTCCGCCGATTCCGACACCGCTTCCGCTCCGTCCTCCCCGCTATCCGATACCTTCCACCCCGCCAGCGACTGGGACAGCAGCAGCGCCTGCAGCAGCCCGGAGCGCGATTTGCCGCAGATCCCGCCGCAGATCTCGCTGCAAAGACGACGAAGACGAGCGCGACGACCCCGTCCGACGGCGCGCGCGTGGCGTCGCGGCTCGTGCTGCATCAGGTGGTGCAGCCGTCCGTCGCGCCGCCCGACCTTTTCAAGCGGTGCATCCACATCGTTCTGCAGATGGCTACTAAAGACGTCCTTAAAGTGTTCCAGCGCGAAGCCGCGGCGATTAGGATCAGCAAGGGGGAGGAGCAGGAGACGCAGGGAGGAGAGGAGAATAAAAAGAAAAAGCAAGGAGCTGACGTAAAGGCCGCGGCCGTCGCGGGGGGCGTGGTTGGCGCGGTTGCTGGCGCGGTCGCGGGTGCTGCTGCTGGCGTCGCCGTCGCGAAGAATGCTGATTCCATTAGGCTCGCGTCGCGCGTGTGGGGGCTTGTGAAGGGCAAAGCTTAAGACGATGAGAAGGCGTCATGGACAAGGGAGGACGAAAAAAAATGTTCGTGAGATTTTCCTGATAGTCTCTGGCACCGGCGAAGCGTGGAGCCGAGAAGCAGAGGTGGCAGGCTAACGAGTCTTTCGCTTCTTGCTGCTGCTGCTACGGATTTCCCGGTTGCACGAAGCGCGCGCGGGCCTCTTTTGAGAGATCGCTGGGCAGTGCTAATTAGGACGGGCTTGGGTTGCTGCAGATAGTGGTGAAAACAGTGGGTACAGTAATTAGCTGGTTTGGTTTGGGCTGGGCATAAGGTTGAGTAGGGTTCAATGCTTTGGGATGCCTCTATACAGAATGGCACCCCAAATCTTTGAACCTTGACTTACAAACTTATGGTGTATTTCCCCTGTAGCCTGCGTTCCATATCCCAGATTAAGGTAGCAAACCGCTTGCTAACCTGTTTTACTGTGTTCTTAACTGCATAATTCCCTGAAGAATACAATACAACCCAAGGGGTAACTAATCAAAACAGTACACCACCACTTAATTTTGCATTGTAACCAACAACTAATTAGACGTTAAGGCTTGTCCTGATAGCACGGTTGGAAGGGTTGAGGCTGGAAAGCAGGAGTAGGTCAGCCACCCCCAGCTTGCACTTCGCCCCTCAACCCATGCTCCCATGCACCCATGCTCCCATGCACCCATGCTCCCATGCTCCCATGCTCCCATGCACCCATGCTCCCATGCACCCATGCACCCATGCACCCATGCACCCATGCTCCCATGCACCCATGCACCCATGCACCCATGCTCCCATGCTCCCATGCACCCATGCTCCCATGCTCCCATGCACCCATGCTCCCATATCCTTACCCTAACCCACCCCACCGCTCTCTGCTGCTGCTCCTCCTCCTCCTCCTCCTCCTCCTAATGCTGTTATCACCCTAGAGCGTGAGCGCCAAGCGGCAAGCGCCTTGGTGAGCCGATTAAGGCTCGTGGCGACAGCCCGGTTGGAGGGGTCGAGGCGGGAGAGCAGACGCAGGTCAGCCACCCCCTATCCTTCCCCCAACACACCACTTATCCCCCACACTTCCTCCTCCTCCTCCTGCTGCTGCTGCTGCTGCTGCTGCTTGCTGCTGCTGCTGCTGCTGCTGCTGCCGCTGCTGTTATCACCCTAGAGCGGCAAGAGCCTTGGTGAGGCGGTTAAGGCTTGTGGCAACGGCACGGTTTGAGGGGTCGAGGCGGGAGAGCAGACGCAGGTCAGCCACGCCCAGCTTGTACTTCTCCATCGCCTCGTACAGACACGCCCTCTGCATCAACACTGCTGTGTTCTCTGGCTCGATCTCTAGCACCTGCGAGGGTAAGCACAGGGAAAGGAGTGGGAAGGAGGTGAGTGCAGAGCAGACGCAGGTCAGCCACGCCCAGCTTGTACTTCTCCATCGCCTCGTAGAGGCACGCCCTCTGCATCAACACTGCTGTGTTCTCTGGCTCGATCTCTAGCACCTGCGAGGGTAAGCACAGGGGAAGGAGTGGGAAGGAGGTGAGTGCAGAGCAGACGCAGGTCTGCCACCCCCAGCTTGTACTTCTCCATCGCCTCGTACAGACACGCCCTCTGCATCAACACTGCTGTGTTCTCCGGCTCGATCTCTAGCACCTGGGGAGTTGAAGGGACAAAAGAGATGAAAGGCAAGGCAGAGGTGAATGAGTGGCACTGCAGGAAAAGAGAGTGCGCAGGCCTGCCGCCCCCAGCTTGTACTTCTCCATCGCCTCGTAGAGGCATGCCCTTTGCATCAACACTGCTGTGCTGCTGGGATGTCATGTGAGCACCTGGCGGTGAGGGAGGTGATGTGTGGGTAGGAGGAGGGGAGATGGGGGGAAGAGGGGAGATGAGATCATAGCGCCTCACACCCTTGCATCCTTGCGCCCTTGCCCCATCGCACTCCATCCCTTTCCTCTCTCCCTTCTTCCCTTCCCACACGGTCCTGACCTTACTCACCTTGCTGCACTCAGCAACAGCTTTATTCATCTCACCTTGCTGCACTCAGCAAGAGCTTTATTCATCTCACCTTGCTGCACTCAGCAACAGCTTTATTCATCTCGCAAGCCTCCTTGTAGCATGACGCCCATGCACTCAGCACCGCCACCAGTCCCCCCCTCCTCCTCCCCTCCCATCTCACCTTGCTGCAGTCAGCAACAGCCTTGTTCATCTCGCCAGCCCCCTTGTAGCACAACGGCCTGACGACCACCATCCCCCCCTCCCTCCTACTCCCAATCCACCCCTTCCCACACTCACCTTGCTGCACTCAATGACAAGTGCCTCTCTCCCTTCCCCCCTCCTCACCTTGCTGCAGTCAGCAACAGCTTTCTTCATCTCCCCAGCCTCCTTGTAGCACGACGCCCGTGCAGTCAGCACCGCCACCAGTCCCCCCCCCTCCGCCTCCCCCCCTCTCTCCGCCAGCTGCTCCGCCCACACCAGCCACTTGATCGCACACCCAACGCCCTGAAGCCAATGCCCAGCCCAGTGCATTCCCCCCACCCCCACCCTCCACTCACCTTACTGCACTCACGCCAGCTGCTCTGCCCACACCAGCCACTTGATCGCATCCCTTCCCTAGGCCCTAGGCTCTAAGCCCAAGGACCAGTGCTCCCCTCCTCCACTCACCCCACACTCACCTTGCTGCAGCTACTGCTGGGTGCTGGAAGGTTCAATGCTGTGAGTGTGCGCCCCGTCCCCCCCCTTCCCCCTCTCAACCCCCCCCTTCTCCTCACCTTGCTGCAGTCAGCAACAGCTTTCTTCATCTCCCCAGCCTCCTTGTAGCACGACGCCCGTGCAGTCAGCACCGCCACCAGTCCCCCCCCCTCCGCCTCCCCCCCTCTCTCCGCCAGCTGCTCCGCCCACACCAGCCACTTGATCGCACACCCAACGCCCTGAAGCCAATGCCCAGCCCAGTGCATTCCCCCCACCCCCACCCTCCACTCACCTTACTGCACTCACGCCAGCTGCTCTGCCCACACCAGCCACTTGATCGCATCCCTTCCCTAGGCCCTAGGCTCTAAGCCCAAGGACCAGTGCTCCCCTCCTCCACTCACCCCACACTCACCTTGCTGCAGCTACTGCTGGGTGCTGGAAGGTTCAATGCTGTGAGTGTGCGCCCCGTCCCCCCCCTTCCCCCTCTCAACCCCCCCCTTCTCCTCACCTTGCTGCAGTCAGCAACAGCTTTCTTCATCTCCCCAGCCTCCTTGTAGCACGACGCCCGTGCAGTCAGCACCGCCACCAGTCCCCCCCCCTCCGCCTCCCCCCCTCTCTCCGCCAGCTGCTCCGCCCACACCAGCCACTTGATCGCACACCCAACGCCCTGAAGCCAATGCCCAGCCCAGTGCATTCCCCCCACCCCCACCCTCCACTCACCTTACTGCACTCACGCCAGCTGCTCTGCCCACACCAGCCACTTGATCGCATCCCTTCCCTAGGCCCTAGGCTCTAAGCCCAAGGACCAGTGCTCCCCTCCTCCACTCACCCCACACTCACCTTGCTGCAGCTACTGCTGGGTGCTGGAAGGTTCAATGCTGTGAGTGTGCGCCCCGTCCCCCCCCTTCCCCCTCTCAACCCCCCCCTTCTCCTCACCTTGCTGCAGTCAGCAACAGCTTTCTTCATCTCCCCAGCCTCCTTGTAGCACGACGCCCTTGCAGTCAGCACCGCCACCAGTCCCCCCCCCTCCGCCTCCCCCCCTCTCTCCGCCAGCTGCTCCGCCCACACCAGCCACTTAATCGCATCCGCGAACTGCCCCCCTTTGTAGAACTCCGTCCCCTTATTGAGCGCTGCGTTATAAGTCACCCCGGGGGGCGGGGGCGGGAGGCCTTCTAGCTCTACAGTGGTTTCTGTGGAGGCGGAAGCAGAAGCATCCCCGAAGCTTCCCCAGTCACCCGCGTCTTGGTTCCCAAAATCAACATCACCTGCGCTCGCTCCAAAGAAACTGCTGCTGTCACTGCTGGCCCCTGCAAAACCACCACCAGCACCAGCACCAGCAGCAGCAGCACCAGCAGCAGCAGCAGAAGCAGCAGCAGAAGCAGTGGGCTTGGGGTTGAACAGCATGTCTACAAGGGGGTCGAATGAGCCTGCTGTACCGGCAGATGGCTGGGAGCTGCTGGGGGGTTGGGAAGTCCCGAAGGTGGATGAGAAGGCAGCAAACGGATCAGCAGCCGCAGCCGAAGCAGCAGAGGCAGCAGGCGCGGGGGCAGGGGCAGCAGAGGAGGCAGCGGCGCGTGGGACGGGAAACGAGGCGGAGAAGTCTGCAAACGGGTCTGCTGCAGACGCGGATGAGGCTCTGGATCCCCCTCCCCCTGCCATGCCACCACTGCTGCTGCTGCTGCTGCTGCTGCTGTTCATGTTGCCAGCGTTACCACCACCGCTGCCACTGCTACTGGAGGAGGTGGCGAATGGGTCAGGCCAGGAAGCAGCAAAAGGATCGGCAGAAGCAGCAGAGGAAGCAGAAGTGGCAGCAGAAGCGGCGGACGGGGCAGAGGCGCGCAGTGAAGGGCCCCCAATGCCGCTGCCCCTCATGGGCTGACCGCCTAAACCACCACCTAATCCACCGCCTAATCCACCACCACTGCCAATCCCACCACCCATTCCGAAACCTGCTCCTGATGCTGATCCCGATCCTACACCGAATCCTCCCCCTGCTCCACCTGCTCCTGAGGCACCAGCTTTGGGAACGGAGCTTCGTAGATCGCCCATACCAAACGGATCAAACCCTTCCCCTCCCCCTCCCCCTCCCCCTCCGCCTCCCCCTCCAGCCGGCCCAGCACCACCCGCACCTGCGCCAAATCTACCCCCCCCAGACGCCCCTCCCGCGCTGTCCCTGGACGCGCCATACGCTGACGTGGACGCGCCGTACGCTGACGTGGACGATGACGTGGACGACGCCCCGGGGCACGCAGAGGCAGTGGCGCTGCTCCACAGACTGGCGAACACGTCATCAGCTTTGCTGGCAGATGCAGCTGCTGCTGACGCACCAGATGACGACAGGGAGGAGTTGAGAGGTTTGGAGGAGTTTAGAGGTTTGCTGTTCATTCCCATCCCCATCCCCATCCCCCCATATCCGCTCCCCCCGCTCCCCCCACTGCCAATCCCGGACTGCCCCAGAGGAACCCAGCTGGGTCCGCCCCCGCTTCCCCCTTGCCTCTGCGCCTGCCCCTGCGACTGCCCCTGCGGATAGGAACTGGCAGAGGCGGGGGGAGCGCGCGCTGTTCCCCCTCCCCCTCCGCCTCCCCCTGTGGACCATGAGGTTGCGCCCTGCGCGTACCCGCCCCCCGCGCCTGGTCGCCCTCCGCCACCCTGAGCGGGGGGAAGATTGGGCGGAGGGTGCAGAGGGGGCCGAGGTGGCGGGGGGGGGGGGGGGGGAGGGGGGGGGAGGGAGAAAGGGGGGGAAGGGGTGTGGAGGAGCGCGGAGGAGGCAGAGAGCAGGAGAGACGTGGGTGAGCGGAACGGGTGAAAGAGATGCTAGAAATCAGGTGAGTGCGACAGTCCCTCAACAATCCCCCGTAAGGGGAACGCTTAAAGTTGGTGCAATGCAATGCATCACTTTGCACAGTAAAGCACCGTTTTGGACGGCTTTGCTCAAAATGCATCACAGACGGCGTTGGAATCACTTGAGAAGCCCACAGATCCATTTTTTTCTTCTTCTTCTCTCTCCTCCCTCCCTCCCTCCCTCCCTCCCTCCCTCCCTCCCTCCCTCCCTCCCTCCCTCCCTCCCTCCCTCCCTCCCTCCCTCCCTCCCTCCCTCCCTCCCTCTCTCTCTCTCTCTCTCTCTCTCTCTCTCTCTCTCTCTCTCTCTCTCTCTCTCTCTCTCTCTCTCTCTCTCTCTCTCGAATTTTGCATTATTTTGACTCACCAAACTGACGTTGGACCAATGCTGCTGATGCTAATTCTGGTTACCAGGTTGACCTATCACCAATGACCAGGTCACTGACTTGCTCTGCGGTTGCCTGACTTACCAAACTACCACCGAGCTTCTGGTCCTTAAGACTGCCGCCTCCCGCTCCCAACCGACCTCCTCTGAGCAACTTCCAGTGGTGACGTTGAAGCAGAAAAGAACAAGAAATTCAACACGGACCAGGTTGCTGACTCACCGCCAAGCCTCCGCCGAGCTTTTGGTCCTTGAGACTGCCGCCTCCCGCTCCCAAGCGACCTCCACCGCCTCCGATGCCGGATCCAGACGACACCCCGAGGTCGAAGTCGAATTGGAAATTCTGACACGCGGATTCAGGGTCGAATAGGGGTCACGGCAAAACATCAATCTTTGAGAATTCTCAAAATTTCTGACACGCGGATTCAGGGTCGAATAGAGGTCACGGCAAAACATCAATCCCGAAGAGAAGCGGAACTAGTGATAAGCGGAACGGGGGGTAAGAATAAATGAAGGGACATACGAACTTATGTGACATCCTTAGCAGCTCGTGCATCGCGTGAGTAAATTGCAGTGAGAGTATGAACCAGGATGTAAGCGTACGCGGTATGTTATGATTCATCTCAGGATTCAAAGTTGACCATGTTATTGTACGTCCGTAAGGACTTGGTCATATGTTGACAATGTGTGCATTTTCATACAATTGATCTGTGCAAGGCCCGCTACTTTCATGTGCATTTTCATACAATTGGTCTGTGCAAGGCCCGCTACTTTCAAACAGCTAAGAAATTACTTTAGTTTGTCGTCGCCAATTTCGATTCGCATCGATCGTAAGTACGATTGTCGGCCGCTTGAAACTGGCATGCCAAGCGACTTTGGAACCATTCAAAAGTCAACCGAAACGAGCGTCGCACCTTAAAAGTCGTCGCCGCATTGACCATGTTGGCCTTGCGGCTGTCGTTCGCACCGCCGTTCATGCCGGCAACCACGCACCGTCCGCCTGAATCCAAGCACTGCCTTTCTCAACCGGTTTCAACCCGTTTCAGCCGCTCTCGACCTATATGGCGCACAGGAAACCTACGGTCCGCCTTGATCTTTCTTGTGAGGCACCTACGGACAACCTTTGATGACCTAGAGGAGGCGAAACGCTGCAGAAACCTAAGCAACGTCGTTCTCGACAGCAGCCAAACAAAACAGGTTCACGCAACCAGCGGAACTAGCTAGCCACAGCAGGTGGTCACAAATAGTAGATCGCCAAGGTAGGTGGCTACTTGGAAGGTAGGTAGGTGTTAGAAACTAAATATGCCTGACCTAAAATGTTTCGAAATTGGTTGGGTGGCAGTCTATTGCGATGCAGGATTCGACTCGCTGGCAAGATTGAGTCGCCTCGCAACACACGGCGACGAGACTGGCGAGGGACGGTAACCACGCCGGTCAAGTTCGTCAGTCGACTTACTGTGGACTTCGATGTGACTCTGTCGAAATTGCAGAACGAAGTTGGACCCAACCAACCGCCAGTATACATTGACAGTATCGAGAAGCCTACAACGAACAAACAACTGAACCGTACTGTATACTCTGCATTATGTGCCCACTATAGGGGAATGATGAAAACACACGCATAGGGGTACTACAAGTAACTTGTTAGTGCACATTTCTTGCAGATTAGATTGATGCCCCACTCATGGACAACCATGCAATGCAGTAAACAATTGCTAAAGCAGTCTATACGTAACCATACAACAATATTTTGTCGGTAGAGTACAACCCGCCCCAAGTCGCTAGCTACATTTGTTGGCCCAAACAAGAATGCACTACTAGCATGTGCCGCACGCACAGTCCCTTCTCGGTGGACGAATGACGAACTACGGTAATGAGACCTAGACAAATGATGGAAATGGGGGTGAGGTTGAAAGTGGTGGTGTTGGCGGCTGTAGCTGCGCCGGGCCGGCCAGCTGGCAAAGATGGCAATCCAATCCAGCAGACACGGATTGCATATCCAGCACACCGGTACGTATATGCATTTCCATTCCAGCTGTCGCAATGGAAATTCCACTGCCCTAGAGCTAGCAACTTGGCAAGCAGCATGTGGGACTCAACAGAGACCCCTTGGAGGAATGTTGAAGTCAAGAACAAGAACCATCTGTCAGTCAGACCAGGGCCAGTGCCACTGCACCCCATGCTGACTATTCTCAGCTGACGCCAGTGCTGCTGCTGCTGTCTGCCTGTCCGCACCCCTGCTGCTGCAGCCAACTCCTCCCTCTGAACAACCCCCTCTGCGAGAGCAGCCCTCGCATTCATCCCCCTTCCCTGCAATCACTCTTTCACTCCGACCATCTTCCTACTGTGAGCCTGTCGTCTGCACTGCCGTCACTTTTGAGGCGCCTCAAAAGCCATCTTCCTACCATGAGCCTGTCATCTGCACTGCCATCACCCCTGCTGCTGCAGCCCGCTCTTCCCTCTAAACAGCCCTTTGAGCAGCCCTCGCTTCTTCTCACTCGATGACCGTCTCTCATCCCCCTCCCCCTTCGGTGACTGGCCCCCATCTCCACCCGCTCCTCCCCCTCCTCCACCTCCTCCCCCTCCCCCTCCTCCCCCTGCTCCCCCTCCTCCCCCTACTCCACCTCCTCCCGCTCCCCCTCCCGCTCCTCCCCCTAGATTGCTCGGCAACGAGCCTTGCCGTAGCGCTTGATTCCCCCCCACTCCTCCCCCCCCGCCTCCCCCCATGCCCCCTGCCCCCCCCACGCCAGCACCAGCAGACATCTTCCTTCCCCCATCCTGCGCCACCACCTCACTCTGAATCGACCAGCTCGCGCGCTCCCCCTGCCCCGCTCCCCCCAGCGCCCCTACTCTCCCCACTTCCCCCCCCGCTCTCCCCAACCCTCCCCCCGTTCCTCCCGCTCCCACCCCCCCATCGCCATCCGGCTCCATCAGAAAAGACAAAACCTCCGCCACGTAATCATCGGGAATCTCATCTACCACGTCACTGCCGGCCGAGCCGAGGTTCACGTACCGCCCGTTCTTGCACAGCAGGGCGGCCTTCATCGTTGCTTTCTGAAACGGCTCGCTGTCGCCGGCCAGGCAGAGCACGGGCATGGGGAGCGCGCCCAGAAGGGCGGCGTGGTCAACCACAGCCATGGCTCGGGTCAGCCAGGGGCGGCGCTCGTAGGTCTGTAGCATGTCTATGAGAGTTCGCACCTGGGGAATACGGAAGAGGGGAGGGGGGGTAAGATAGAAGAGGGGAGAGGGAGGCAGAGGACAGGGATCAGACACAGCAGCACGGTTGTGTGGGAGGAGAGAGCAGGAGACAGAGAGCGGCACGGGCATGGGCAGCGCGCCGAGGAGGGCGGCATGATCTACCACGGCCATGACTCGGGTCAGCCACGGTCGGCCACACGCCTCAAGGGGCCCTTTCAAAAGCCCCTTTCAAGGGGCCTCAATCCTTTTTCTCACGGAAAGAGGACAGCGCTGCTCTCCAGGTCCACATGAACCCCTTGCTTAACTCGCCCCACCCATGCATGAAACCCACTGCACCTTCACCTGCTCGCCTCACCACCTGATGTGTGGGCACGCCCCAGGGGCCACAGCACCCCACACAGAGCACCCTACAGCACTCCGCAGCACCCCACAGCACCCACCTTAAGTTGCTTCTCACCTTGAGTTGCCAGCCAGGGCACGGGGTAGGGGTATCTATTCTCCAGGAACGTGGCCACTGTCCCCTCCAAGTCCCCTTTCAATTCGCACCTCACAGAATCTCAGCGGCCACCTTACAGCATCACACAGCACCCCACAGCACCGCACGGCACCCCACATCTGCTTCTCACCTTGAGTTGCCAGGGCACGGGGTAGGGGTATCTCTTCTCCAAAAAGGTCGCAACAGAGCCTTCCAAATCCCCCCGTAATCAGGAAGCTCCTCCCTCAGCGCACATCCCCTCGCTCCATGAACCCCAGCATGGGCACGCCCCACCGCACCCACAGCATCCCAGCGGCCACCCCACAGCACCCAACAGCACCACACATCATCCATAAAGCGCAGCTTGAGCTGCTGGGCTTACCTTTAGCTGCCAGGGCACGGGGTAGGGGTATCTCTTCTCGAGGAAAGTCGCCACAGTGCCTTCCAAATCGCCGTCGTAGTCAGGGGGTTCTTCCCTCAGCACATCCCCTCGCTCCATGAAGCCCAGCATGGGCACGCCCCACAGCACCACCCGCCGCACCACCTGGGGTAGGTCTGACGCGATTTGCAAGGCTACTGTGGCCCCCGTCTGGTGCCCGATCTGTGGGGGTTAGAGGAGGGGCGGTTGGTGGTAGATGGGGTTGAATGGGGTTGGGTGGGGTTGGGGGTGGGTGGGGTTGGGGGTGGGTTATGAGGATGGGTGCGTGCGGGTAACAGGGGATGACAAGGGGTGGATGGGGGGAGGGGCGGCAGGTTTGGGTGGGAAAAATAGCCCCCCAAGCGCGCATGCCAGTCAAGAGGGGCATGTTTTATTTTCCTGCCCCGGTCAGGCTGATGGTGTGAGACAGTTGGCCAACGCTGGTTCGTTATTATGAATTTGTTGCGTTCATGCGGACGTTGGGAGTTCACTCATGAGGCGCCTCAAAAGTTGGGGTGCACCGTGCAACGATTCGCCAAAGGCTGGTTCGCTATTACTATGTATTCATTGAGTTCATGTGGATGCTGGGAATTTGTACTGACTCCATTCAACAAAAAAAAAAACATGCTCCTCCTCATCCTGATTCCCCCCTCCCCCGTCCCCCTCCCCACTGCCCTCCCCTTTTTTCCCATCACCCCTCCCCTCCCCACTCTCCTCTACCCTTTCGCCCTCACCCCTCCCCTTTCCCCAACATTCAAATGGCCCCAGAGAATGGTAATGCCCCTCACTCCACCCTTTACCCCCCCTCCACACCCTCCATCCAAACCCCAACCTCCCTCCCTTAACAACACAGCACCACACCCCCATTTCTCTAATCCGTCTCTTCTCTTTCCCTTCTTTTTCCCTCGCTTTCCCCCAACCACCATCCCCTTTCCCCCAACCACCATCCCCTTTCCCCCAACCACCATCCCCTTTCCCCCAACCATCATCCCCTTTCCCCCCTGACCATCCCCTCCCCCATCCCCCTCCCCCCGGCTCGAGGCTTACCAGGTCTATGGTGTGGGTAAAACTCAGCCCTTGAACGGCCTCCAGCACAATCGTTCCCTTCTCTTTCCCCCCTTCTCCCCCCCCACACAACCATCCCCTCCCCCCTCTCCATCTCCCACCCGTGGTTTGACACTTACCAGGTCAATCGTGTGGGTGAATCTCAGCCCTTGAACGGCCTGCAGCACGATCTCTGCCACGTCAGCAATCGTCAGCTCCACGGATGAACGGCTGGATTCGCCGCAGTTGGGCAGATCGACGGCCACGGCGTGCAGCCCCTGGGCGGCAAAGCGCTTGAGCGCGGATGAGAACATAGAGGAGGACTGCGGGGCGGCATGCAGCAGCAGCACGGACGGCATGCCTTGTCCGCATCTGCACATGGGGAAAGGTGGCGGAATGGGTATTGGGGGGTAAAGACACGGGAAGAGACAAGGGGAAGTGGGATGGGAGAGCGGGGGGCGGGGGAAGGAAAGAGCAAGATCGAGTGAGTATGACCAGGGGAAACGGAAAGCGCGGGGGAGGTGGGGGGGAAGCGGGAGGGGTGGGGGGGGGGATGGGTGAGGTGAGTGGGAAAGGGGGAGGGAAGAGGCGGAGATGAGGAGAGAAGTAAGGGTCGTTCCAAAGCGACATTGAGACGACAATCTGATCACTGAGAGAATGGATAGTCGCATCGCAACGGCGTGTTTTCGCGAAGGCCAATAACCACCCGGCGGAGAAAAACGGACGTGGGGAGAAAGGGGGTTCGGAGGGGGGAAGCGGAGGGCCGGGGGAGGGGGGAGAAAGGGGGGGAACGGGTGAGTGGCTGCTGAAACTCAAGTCGAAAACCCTAGAGCGCTGGTATGGCATTGTCTGGCTCATTCTTCGGTGATAGCGTATTGTTGAACCTTGTGCTTTGTTCATCAGCTGCGATAGCGTATCTGACCGTTATGGATGCTTCTTCTCAGCCGACTCGAAAGTGGATTTATTAGCTCATCGTGGCAGGGTAAAATGGGGACCTTCGATTCAACTCAGGGGTCAGCTTATTAGCTCACGTTCGGTGGTGTATCTGGGCGTATTAATTACAGTAGTGTATATTACTGGAGTTAACCCACCTGCGAAAGTGTATCTGGCCGTAATCCGTGTCCACATAACCCTTAACGACGTCGAAACCTCTTGCGCTCCCCATCGGCTCTTCCCCGCCGTCGATACCCAACGCCGACTGTCTGTCGTCGATTTACAACGGCGAATCCCCGCCGTCAATACACGACGGCAACAGCGAATCTCCGCCGTCGACAGACGCACACACACCGTCGATGAGGATTCACCAGCCAGCAAGCCAAGACCTTCGTCTGTACGCGCTATTATAAGGCGGTTCGAGTTCGAGCCTGGCGTCGCAAGATCCCGCGAGCTGCGAGGAGGTTAATACGATAGCGCGACCCGACCTTGGTAAAGATGGCGTGTTTTTCAGAATACTATAGAAGCTCCCGATTACGAGGTGACTTTTGAGTCGACTCAAAAGTCACCTCGTTGATGGCGACAGCGCGATCCGACTTTGATAATGATGGAGTGACTCTCAGAGTGCTTTAGATACGCCGGATCACGCTACCTTGAGGGACGACAAGAAGATTGGCGAAGAAAGGCGGTCCGGCCTACTGGAAAGAACAAAAAAAAAGGAAAATATTTCTGAACGCGCGATCGCACTCCGCGATATATTGTTGATCATTAAAATCTGTTACTAACAAATAAAGGCCGAACGAAAAGCGCTGCCGCTGTTCTTTGGCTCTAGTTACCGATGTGGTTGTCGAGTTGATATTTCAGAATCTATGCACTTCAATGTGGCGTCGCTGTAACGGCTCGCTTCCCGTTCTGCTCCGAAATGTTGACATTATTCCCAGCGCGATCGGGTCGGACTAGGCGCAATCGAGCTCTTGACTTCGCAATTCGGTGCTCTACGTATGGTAGTCGTGCGCGAAACTTCTGTAAAATACAATGCCCGATGAGACTTCCGAGGTGACTAAAAAATGTTGTGAGGAGTCTCGAAACTGTGGTCGCAAAATGTGCGACTTTCGAACTGACTAAAAAAAGCGTGGTTTCGGCAAATGGAGCAAGAAACACGTCCGCTTCGCACGTGGAAAAGGAGCTGCTGATGCAATCAACTAAAGGGATGTTCAAAGTGCTGGAGGATTTCCGACGTCGAACTTCGTCGAGGTTGTTGAAGAAGGTAGGTGGGCTGAAGGGTGCCATTTCCATGTTCAAAGTACGCTTCAAAAAATGCTGACGCCAGCATCGCCGTTTGTACGGAATTGTGCAATGATTCGGGCTCAGAAACGGTCAAAATATGCAGATTGAGCGCATCTATACAAGGATGACCAGACCACGTCAGACAAAATTCTAGATTGGCTCGACTGGTAATTTCGAGCATTGCGAAATATCACAACTCGTTTTTCGATTTTCGCAGCCAATAGACGCAGAGCAACGTGCATGAAAAAACTTTGCGATTTCAGTTTTGGTCTCAATTCAATTGTTCAACGCTCACAATTCAATTGTTCAACGGTCTGAATTCAATTGTTTGACTGTTCTCGCCGGCATTTGTCCTGAGTGACAGTTCGTCGCCGGCAATATGTTCGAAGTGCCGCATTCGACGTCAAATCGACGTCGACCTCTACGTCGGTCGACGTCGAGGCTCCGACGTCAAAGGATGTGAAAAGTTACTTCGAACACGCCTAAAGTTGGAAGTTGGTTCTTGTGGACTCAAAAGTCACCTCGAAAAGGGCGCGCTTGTGCAACTATGCAGTACACGTAAGCAGTCAGTTTGTTTGGATCGGAAAGAGCGACATCAAAGGGCTGATTGCTACGAGGAACAGCAACACAACCACCTATCTGCCGATGGGAAGGCAGGATATACACGGGAGCAATCACGCAAAGATGCTTGCCATCACGCTTGGAAACGAGAGTCATAAGCGTGCAAGGAGAAGCGTGGTCGGAAAGTTGGGACTGATGCGACATAAGCAGGAGCAAAGCAATCATCAGGAGGAGGAAGGACGACGAGAAGGCGAGGCAAATGCATGCAGCCAATTGCTGATGGCTTCCACTAACGGAACCACCACTTGGTGCTGCTGTTGCTCTGTGACTCTTGACTGGGGAAAAAAAATAGGGTTTTTAGTTATTTCGGAAGGGGTACTTCCGACCCTGCGCTTTCTAGGGAGCTTCATCTCTACCTGCACAGAGTTTCCCATGTTTCGACGCCCAGGCAGAAGACTTATTGGGCTGGGACAGAACTCGGCTCCACGTTTATCCACGTGTCAGTCACTGCGCATCCCAACCACTGCTGCTGCACACAGAGAAACAGTGCGCAACCGCTTTTGTTATTTTCTGCCGAGCCAAAACCACGTTCTGGGTGGCTCGGCACCCCACTGTTTCGATATCTGGGGGGGATCATTTTCGCGCCCAAACTCCGTCCAGTAACACACGCCAGGGCGACACTGCAAACGGAAATAAACTCCGTCTAGTCCAGTGACTTCAACCTCCGTCAAACGACATTAATAGCTCCCCATAACAGAAACGCGATCTAGTTTTAGGCTGATTTGAATATAATAGAAACTTAGCCATTATTTTTTAGGATTGCATATGGCCTTTCTAAATTAATTTGTAAAACGGTGTTAACATTCAGGGCATTATTGAGTTTCCTTTTCCTCTAAAATTGAAACACGCAAATTTCATTTAAAGGGACGAAACGTCGTGCAAGTTGCAAAAGCCGGGTTTATAGAAGAAAATGGCATGATCTTGTATGCATTTACAGTCCTATAGTATTGTCTACATTTGTAAACATAGTGTTACGTATTTACGTGTTAAGCCTTTAAACATTCATGGGCGTTTAAGTCCACAGAATAACTTATTTGTGAGAATTTAACTTCACAAATATAATAATAATATAACATCACGGTTAGAAGTGAAACTGAGTACACATAATAACATATGTGTGAAAATGATATCATGTGTTCTGAAACGCCCAGAGATATTTAAAGGCTTCTAAACTCTAGCACCCTGTGTCTACATATGTTGACAATACTACAAGACTCTAAATCCACGCAAGATTATGACATTTTGTTTAATGGGTTAGGGTTTTGCAGCTTGCACGATGATTCGTCCCCTCAAAAGCAAGTTGTTTGTTTCAATATTAGATCAAAAGGAACCAAGAAGGCCCTAAATGGAAACATTGTTGAACAAATTAATTTAATAAGGCCACATGCAATCTCAAAGAGCTTGAATGGTAACATTGTTTAACAGATTAATTCAATAAGGCTTGATGTAATCTTCTAGATATACTTGAATGGTAACATTGTTTAACAAATTCATTCAATAAGGCCAGATGCAATCTTCTGAAAATACTGGCTAAGTTTTTTTTCAATCAACTCACCCTAAAACAAAATCCTGTTTCTGTTATGGCGAGGTATTATCGTCGTTTGACGGCAACTGACGTCACTGTACTAGACGGAGGTCGTTTCCGTTTGCAGTGGCGCTCTGGCGTGTGTTACTGGACGGAGTTTGGGCACGAAAATGATCTCCCCCAGATATCGAAACAGTGAGGTGCCGAGCCACCCAGAACGTGGTTTTGGCTCGGCAGAAAATAACAAAAGCGGTTGCGCACTGTTTCTCTGTGTGCAGCAGCAGTGGTTGGGATGCGCAGTGACTGACACGTGGATAAACGTGGAGCCGAGTTCTGTCCCAGCCCAATAAGTCTTCTGCCTGGGCGTCGAAACCTGGGAAACTCTGTGCAGGTAGAGATGAAGCTCCCTAGAAAGCGCAGGGTCGGAAGTACCCCTTCCGAAATAACTAAAAACCCAAAAAAATATCAGCCAAAACAGCTGGAGATTACACTAAATGCCCACATATCTCCACATCCGCCTTATAAAATATTTACGTCTGCACGAGTGAATTAGCTGGCGCATGCACGCGCTTTACAGGCCGATGTACATTGCATATCCACACAGTTCCACCCGTCGTTGCTTTTGAACATGCAACTCCAGACGGCGAGGGCAGCGTGAGGAAACACCAAACACCAATAGGACAACGTTGTGAACGCCGAACCGTCAGTAGAAGAGGAGAAACTTTACCAAAACGTGCATTCAAGAGAAATTGAGTGCATTCTAACAAAGAAGTCGGCCTGATTGGGGCGTCGCACGTACAGCATGTGATCTGTGGTATCCGCTGCTAATTTCCAAATTCAAGGGATGGGGTTACTTTTCTGACCGCAGGGCAGCAATCATGAAGGGAAAGCAGCCGCCAGAAGCCAGAATCAGCAGGCAAGTTCGTGATAACTGTGATATCGAGGGCCGAGAGAATACACTACACTATATTTTGATACAAAGTTTTGAATGGTGGGGACTAGCAGCCCGCAGAAGGGTAGGGTGCACACGATGACAATACCGGGTATTCGCCGATGAACGAGGGAGTAGTTCGGCGACAGCATACATCATCTTCGCCCAGCCAACCTTGTTGTCCCACGTCAGCAGCAGCTGTAAACCACAGCGCGATTCCATCGAACAGTACGAAGTATATGAGAGTGTGGGAAGTTGTCTGATGCAGCGAGCGGGTCGCGCGGTTCGTTTGTGGTCCTGGTCTGCTATTCGAGACAACAAAATATCAGGCAATGAAAAACTAGAACTGCTAAATGATATTCCTCTATCTCTATTTAATCAAACAACCTCTCCCCTGTAGCAAATGCACAGAAGATTGCAGCACTTAGCACACAAAGTCCAGCTGGCGTAACAAACGCTAGCCACCATCCAAATTCAATATCCGAAGCCCATGCTTGGAGAATTAACCCTGTCGCTGCCACCCCCACAATACCCGCCAATGTCCCAGCAGTGTTGGAGATGCCCATAACGGGTCCCGCATACCGTGGTGCAATATCCATGTGGTTTACTGAGAAGCCTGCTCGTGCAAATGCACAAGCACCCAGCGTAATGGTTGAGCACAATATAGCTCCCGCAACCGACGAAAGAACCGGCATCAAGCATAGAGCCAGAGCCCCGATCAGGAACCCAACCGTATTTAGAACCTTCCGGGTAGCTGCGATCGACAGGTATTGCGACGTGATGAGGAAATCAGCAGCCACGCCGCCAACGTTGGAAAATATCATCATAATGTAATATGGGAGGGATTTGCCAATGCCGATGCTTTGAAGTGACGTGTGAAGCGCTTGCTCAAAGTAGGACGGAAGCCAGTTCATAAGCACATAAAGTGCGTAATGAAAGGTGTAGTTATTGATAACTATAGCCCAGATGGCCCAGCTGCTCATCATGGCCCCCCAGGGAATACCCTTATTGCTGCTGGAGCTGCTGCTGCTTCCACCACTCCCAACCGCACCGTCTTTCACATTATCCTCCTGTAAAAGATCCTGCTTACTACCAGGTAAGCGGGGAGACAGCGGTTTCCCATCACCGCCACTGCTACCGCCACCACCACCACCGCTCCCTCTTCCCATCCCTCCTCCTGGCGGATCCTTTGAAAACAGCCGCACCCACAGCCCCACCCACAGCAGCCCCAGCCCAGCTGACCACCGAAACACCGCTGCCGGGCCGCCCCAGGGCGCCTCCCCTGCCGCTACAGCCGGCATGAGAGACATGGCGGCGCCGGCCCCGAGATACATACCGGACATTGTGAGGCTGACGGCGCGGGATTTTTCATGGGGTGGGATGCAGAGGGCGAGCACTGTGTGGATGGAGGGGAAGATGAAACCCTGCGTGGCGCCGACTAGAAAGCGGATGAGGAGCAGCGCGAGGAGGGAGGGGGAAGTGAGGGAGGAGGAGGTGGGGTTGGAGGGAGTTAGGAGGGAAAGGGCAGTCCAGGCGAGGAAGGCCACTGTGATCACCCGCCGGCCGCCATAGCGCTGTGCTGCAGAACTGCCAGGCACCTGGAAGGAAGTTTGGATGACGGGAGGAAGAGGACGGGGGAGTGAATTTAAGCACCCACCACCACTCGCGCCTCCACCAGGCAAGGGAAGCCACGGTGATGACCCGCCTGCCTCTGAGATGCAGAGCTGGCAGGGACCTGAAAGGAGATCATGAAGTAAGGAGGAGGGGGGAGGGATGGGAGAGTGGATGCGAGCATTCAGGAGGTGGCGATGGTCGGGAGAGGAAAGGGCGAGGCGGAAGCAGGAGGAAGGCGCAGGGGCAAGGCGGAATTAGGAGCAAAGGGGAAGTGAGGACGGCGGAAGCAGGGCAGGGGCAAGGCGGAAGCAGGCGCAAGGCAGAAGAAGGGGCAAGGCAAAAGCAGGGGCAAGGCGGAAGAAGGGGCAAGGCGGAAAAAGGGGAAAGGCGGAAGTAGTAGCAGCGAGGGGCAGGGAACAGATTGGAGGGGAGCAGATTAGCATTCAGCAAAACAAATACGAGAATTCTTCGCGCCACATTCTATCCAATCGGGGCCAGCGTCTTGGGAAAGAGGGCCTTCGCAACACGCCCACGGGCGCATTTGCAACGCGCCACATGCTAACGGTGCGTATTCGCAAGACACCCACCTGAGAAAGGGCGTATCCGTAGTAAAACGCGGAGAGCACCCATCCCTTAGTGGCCTGATCCACGTGGTTTCGATTAGCTACTAACGAGTACGCCACGCTGAACCCCACTCGTTCGATATAGCACACCGTGGTGCATGCTGCCGTCAGCAGCACCACCACGTACCGCTGCGGCATTCGCGCCAGCAAGCGGCGAAGCCGCGGAAACCCTAAAAGGCCTAATAACGAGGATGAGGGTTGACGGGTTTGCCAGGGGGTTGGACGGTGGGTTGGCATGCCGGTCGCGGTGGTGCTGACGGTGCTGACGGTGCTGACGGCGATGACAGCGCTCACGATGCTGACGGTGTTAGATGGGATGAAGCGTCAATTAGAAGGCCACACATGCTGGCTAGGCATCGTCTCGTCGATATCACGATCAATTATGAGAGTTTTACCGCGGCGCGCCGCACCGCATTGCTTTGCTGCTCATTCCGGCATCATTCTTACAATATTTATAATGCTATCGCGGAGTGCGATCACAAGAAACAGATCTAGGAGAGTTGTTGGGTCGGGAGAGGTAACGTGGAATTTCGTAGTGAAAATAACGGTGAGTGGGTGTGAAGGGAAGTAGTAAAGAAATGTTGAGTCAGCATTGAGGACGGCGAATTGAAAGAATGCAGGGTAATTGTAAGGAATTTTCCGGATTCCTTACTGGGTCACACTGTACGCGTACAACCCCGGTTTTCGGAAAACCAGGCTCGGTCCGCCGACCTCGCCTTCCGAGCCACCACCGCGTCGCCTTCGGGTTTTCCAACCCCGAACCTGCACCCAACCATCACCGCGACCCCGCGACCTCGGCCTAGCCAACCTCGCTATATTAGTCCTAGGCCTCGTTGTGTGCTCAGATGTTGTAATCACTTCCGCATTATTGAGTTCTGCGCACTCTCTTCTTTCACAACTCATAACACTTGGTATCAGAGCTACTTTCCTAGGTTACCCTCGCGTTTCCGGGGTAGTTTGTAGAAGGGGAGCGATAGACTTGGTGGGCTGTTAAGCGGTCGGCCCGTGGAATAGATCCGATTATTCCACTCCGACTACGATAGCATTAACGCCTTCACCGAAGTCAGAAAAATCGCGAACCACCCCCTGCCCGTTAGACGAAGCCTGCGACACATGGACCAGGCGGAGTTCAACGAGTTCATGCAACAGTTCCGGATGATGCAGGCCGACATGCAGACTATGTCTGCAGAAGTGGAGCGTCTTCGGAAGGAAAACGCCGAACTACACCAGGCGCGTGGTGAAGCGCGCCAGGAGTCGCCTGTCGTGGACGACGCAAGTAGCAGCACTGCACCAGATGAGCGGGTCTGGAGCGAGCTGGAAGGCGAGATGGATGCGGACGAGGCGAGGCAGGCGCAGCAGCAACAGTCACCGCAACAGTCGCGCGCAGCACCGACACGTGCAGCAGTGACAACAACGGCGACGCCAGCAGCGATGCCAACGGCCCCGATGGCAGCAACGGCTTTCGTGAAAATCAAGCCGACAAACCCGCCCCCGTTCAACCCGAGCGACAAGTTCGTCACTGTTTCTGCATGGTTGTTCGGCGTGGAGGTGTTCTTTAATGATGCCACCCGCATTAATTTCGCAGTTTCACTGTTGCGAGGACCTGCGCTGGAGTGGTGGAGGCGAACGCTGCAGCACGAAGGGACTTCGGCAGGAATAGCACGTGCGAACGACGGGACTTTAACACCTGTCACGCATCAGGCAACATCAATTTTCGGGACGGCCACGATACGCACATGGAAGGAGTGGGGCGCCGCCTTGCGAACCAGATTCGAGCACATATCCGCCTCGGATTCTGCTCGCATGCAGCTGCGTACCTGGAAGCAGTTGGCTTCGGTCCAAGACTACACCAGCAAATTCTGCAACTTGGCGGACCAAGTGGACGACATGAGCGATGCGGAGCGGTTGGATCGCTACGTGGCGGGCCTGAAATACGAGATACAGTACGAGGTCCGACGAACCCGGCCACGCAGCTTCAACGACGCCGTCCGGGAAGCCGAGTCAACGGATGCGCTGATGCAGTGGGCGAGATCGTGGATCGACTCAGCAGCCCGGGAGGGCCCTCGATTTCGTGGATCGACTCAGCAGCCCACGATCAACGGCGTGGATGCACCAAGCCGAGCCCTTGGGCCGTGCTTTCTATGCAACCAGCTGGGCCACCTGAAAAAAGACTGCCCGAGGCTTAAGCAGGGGAAGAAGAACGACGGAGAAGGGTCGGGAAAAGATGTGAGTCAGTAGCAGAAGGGCCACCTACTGACGAGACCCTGTCGCCCGACAATCACCATCCACACCGGGTCGTGGTACCGATCAGAGCTATCGACCAGAACCGGACGAATAACGTGGGTGAACACATAGACTACCCTGTGCTGGTGGTGGGAAGGGTTAACGGCTATAAAATAAAAATATTCGTTGACGGTGGGGCGAGCCACAGTCTCGTCAACCTGGCAACGGCAAAAAAAATAGGGGTGAAGCTGACCAGGTGTCTGCCGGAGATTGATGCAAGGCTGGTGGACGGGACACCACTAGCCATCCGAGATGAAGCGCGAAAAATTCGGATACAGTGCGGCGACAAATTCGGGTTTGGCATGAGAATGTTGGCGACGACGTTGGACGGCTGCGATGTGCTGCTGGGGAGGGATTGGCTGCAGCGCTTCAATCCGACGATCGACTGGACGACTGGGGCGTGCGTCGTGCGAGGATACGGAGGGAAGACGACGCTTCCGAAATGGACGGAGCTGGAGCTGGTGACGACACGTGTCAACGCGGTCAGCGTGCGATGAAAAGCAGAGCCCAGGCCTTCTTGGTGCACCTGTACGAGGTGGCAGCTTCCGAGAAAATCGCGGACATCGACACCCTCTGCGCGGCAGTCCCCGAGGAATTGGCGAGCATCATTCGGAAGTATCCCGAAATTTTCGCGGATGACCTCCCGGATGGCTTGCCCCCCCAACGACCTGAGGATCATCGGATCCAGCTGGAGCCAGGAGCGCAACCTACTGTTCGGACACAGTGGCGGCTCAGCCAACCAGAGCTCGTCGAGTTACGGGCCCAGCTGGATTACCTGCTCGCCAAGGGATTCATCCGGCCAAGCACGTCGTCGTACGCAGCGCCGATACTGTTCACGCCGAAGAAGGACGGGGGCCTACGCATGTGCATTGATTATCGGGCGCTGAATCGGGTCACGATAAAATCGCGTTACCCGATCCCGCGAACCGACGATCTGCTGGATCAACTTCGCGGAGCTCGGTATTTTTCGAAAATCGACCTGCGAGGAGGCTACCACCAAATTCGCGTGTTCGCCGACGACTGCCCGAAGACAGCATTCCACACACGTTACGGTAGTTACGAGTTCACAGTGATGCCGTTCGGTCTGACAAACGCGCCCTCGACGTTCCAGCTCATAATGAACGGGATTTTTCGGGACATGCTGGACAAGAAAGTCATCGTGTATCTGGACGACATCCTGGTGTACAGCGCAACAAAAGAAGATCATCTGCGGGATTTAGAGGAGGTGTTCCGGCGTTTACAGGGGCATCGGCTGATTACGAAGGGGTCTAAGTGCGAATTTCTGAAGCCGGAATTGGAGTTTTTGGGGCACGTAGTTTCCGGCGACGGGATAAAAATTGACCCGCGTAAGGTAGACGCCATCGTTAAGTGGAAACCACATACTAATATCCCTGAGTTGCAAAGCTTTTTGGGGTTTGTTAACTACGTTCGTCGTTTTGTACCTAATATGGCAGGGATAACCAAGCCGCTGACCGACCTGCTGCACCACGACAGTGATTTTCGGTGGGGGGAGAGGGAGCAGTCCGCCTTCGACGCCCTCAAAAACATTTTGAAGTCACCCCCGGTACTCCGCCTCGCCGACCCATCTCGACCGTTCGAAGTCGTCACGGACGCCAGCGATTTCGCCGTCGGCGCCGTCCTGCTACAGGATTTCGGCCAAGGGCTGCAACCCATCGCCTACGAATCACGCAAGATGCAGCCACCCGAGCGCAACTACCCAGTCCACGACAAGGAGATGCTGGCCATCGTCCATGCATTCCGCGTCTGGCGCTGCTACCTTACGGGGGCCGACGTGACCATTCGGACCGACCACAAATCGCTACAGTACATGCGCACGCAACCGACACTCAACCCGCGACAAATCCGGTGGTTGGACTTCCTCGAGTCCAATTTTCGGTACACCATCACGTACAAAAAAGGCGCCAACAACATCGCCGACGCCCTCACCCGACCATCCATGCAAAACGCGGCGGTACTAATCGCCCACACCAACCCGATGCTGACGGGACTATTCACCCACGGCTACAAGATCGACAGGTTTTTTCGGAACCCGCAACAACAGGCTGCTACACCGCACGGCAAGTACTACCTAAAAGCCGGTACTAACCGGATTTGGGTACCAGCATACCAGCCTTTACGGGAGCTGCTGACGCAGGAGGTTCACGACTCCAACCTTTCCGGGCATTTCGGCATCGACAAAACACTGAAGCTGCTGCAGCGGAATTATTACTGGCCGGACATGCTCACCGATGTGCAGCGCTACGTGTCAACTTGCCCGACCTGCCAAGCAATGAAGTCGTCGCGACAAAGGCCAGCCGGACTACTGCAACCCCTGGCACCACCCGAACGACCGTGGCAACAAGTGACGATGGATTTCGTCACGGGGCTTCCAGCTGGCGTGAGTGGCAACGACTCGGTCATGGTCGTCGTCGATCGCCTGACGAAAATGGCGCATTTCGCACCATGCCGGACGACAATCACAGCCGAAGATACAGCAAAGCTCTTCATCTCCACCGTCGTACGCCTACACGGGTTACCTTCGGCGATCATCAGCGATCGAGATCCGAAATTTACGTCGAAGTTCTGGCAGGAGACGTGGGCACAGTACGGCACCCGCAAACCGACGGACAGACAGAACGGACAAATCAGACCATGGAACAACTGATTCGCACTAACTGCCCGGATATTCGCAAGTGGGAGGACTCATTGCCGATGCTGGAATTTGCGTACAACAACGCCCCTTCGGCCACGACCAGACAATCACCCTTCTACTTGAATTACGGGATAGACCCAGTGGTACCCTCATCAACGACTACGGACAACCCGGTACCACGATCGCAGCAGTTTGTCACGGA